AAATAATGAATTATTTCGTTATATATTACATAAACTAAAGTTTCATTCATTGAAAAGACAAGTTTTATTGATGAAAATAATTTAAAAATAGAATTACTAATTTAAGAACAAAGAAAAAAAAGAAAAAAAAGTTCAAAAGAACTGTTTTAATACTTCGATTTGACATGGAAGAGAACCAACGGTCTAAAGACCAACAACGAATTATCACACTGTTATTAAACGAACAATTTGAGTTAAGATCTAGTGTAATAAATTCCGAGATACTTGAAGAGGATGATTTAATTACTGACTCACTTACAAAAGGAGAACAAATTGTCAGTCGAATGGATAAAACTATTGGTTCAATTGCTTCTTTATTCAGTGGAGCACATACTACTATAGATGAGTTAAATAATAAATTAGAAGAAGCAACTAATAATAAAGTAGACAATACTATTGATTCATTAAAGAAAGATAAAATGTTACTACAAAATGCTATTGATTCAATCAACCAAGTTGGTGATATGTTAAAGTTAGCTAATGGAATACAAGAAAGAATTGGTAGTGTAAATACATTTGATGAATGTGTTAATTTACTTCAAGACTGTATTAAAATTTATCAATTTATGAATGATAGAAAAGAATATCAATTTTATAGTTCACATGAAATAGATACAAAGAATCATTTACAAATAGTTTATGATAAAACATTAGTATTTTATAATGATTTATTTGTTGAGATTAGTAAACCAGAAAGTGTTTCACAAATATTATCAAAAGAGTCTTATATTGGAACAGAGTATCTTCAAATGTTAAAGAAAGCTATGCCAATAATATTTGAAGCTGGAACATTATTAAGAGCTAATGCTCATGATGTTTTTGCTGTAATATTTGAGAATAGAAAAGAGTATTTATTAGAAGTTATTCAAAGTATTACTTTACCAGTATTAACTGAAAGTGATGAAGTTATAGAGTATACAGTAGGATATACTAATGGTAAAAATGCATTTATTACTACTATGAAGCATGTCCTTTCTTTGTTTCAAAACGAACGTATTTTTCAGCAAGATATTCTTCAAAACGATTTTGATAAATTTTTTGTTGGGACCACTGATGAACCATTCACTGCTTTTATTGATTTATATACATCATTTGTTTCAACATTACAAACATTGGATACTCCATTTATTGTTTTCCCATTACTTGATATACTTGAAGTTTATGAAAATATGAAGGCTGACTTCACTAATGCACTTAAAATAAATGAAGATCCAAAGAATAAGTCAAAAGGATTTATTGCGTTAGAAAAAGGATTTAATGTTCTAACGTCATCATTTACATTTGGTAGTGATAAAAAAGAAGAAGAAGAGGAGGAAGATGATTTATATGTTGAAGATACAACAGGAGATAAAAGAGACTCTCAAACTAAAAGAGTAGATGCATTATTTGATACAATGTATACAAATGTTAAAACATTGTTAATTAAATTTAGAGATGAAGTCCTTATAGATTCTACACTAAATAAAATATTTTCATGGACAGAGAGTAGTATTCCAGTAGATGGAACAGTATCTCAACTTGCAGCTGATACAATGCATTATCTTTCTAAATTAGAGAAATACCTTCCACAATTATCTAGTTATATTAGTAGAATGTATAGAGAAGAAAACAAACAAAATAGTAATGGAACAGAAGATGAGGGATATGTAGGAATGTTTGTAGATGTGTGTATTCAAAATTTATGCCAGATGATAGAGGCAAGAGCATCAAAAGAAAAGTCCAGACTAGGAAAAATATTTAAAATAAATAACTACGCATTTATTATGAATGTGTGTATGTTAGATGGATTTGAAAAATTATTTGGAAGTAGTTTACAAAAGAAAATAGAAAGTGACTTTTCAACAAAAAAAGAAAATGCAATCCACGAATATAAAGACTCTCTTCAATCAATTTATGAAACTTTAAATGCTAGACCTAGTAAAAGTGAACAAATTAAGAAAGCTTTTACTTCATTTAATAAAGATTTCCAAGCACTTCATACAGTATCCAGTGGATATTCAGTTTATAATGACCAATTAAAAGAGGAGCTAAGAAGTGTATTAAAAGAACAAATATTAGAACCATACACTCTTTTCTATAATAATTATGAAAAAGTTAAATTTACTCAAAATCCTACTAAATATTTCCTTTATACTCCTCAAATGGTTGAGCAATGTATTAAATTAATGTTTGAAGCTAAAACTGATGTTAATGGTGAATCAAAAGAACTTACGGATTACATTCCTGACTTCCTACAAAATGTACCTCATTTTGTTCCTAAAATGTCTACTATTACTTCTTTAGCTACTCCTTTACAAAATCTTCCACAACACTTAAAAAATCTATCTCATAAACCTGTGGATATTGTTAAAGAAACTCCAAAAGTAATTAAAAACCCATTGAAAAGTACTAAGAAGTTTATTAAGAATATTAATCCATTCTAAGTGAATTTTTTTTCTTTTTGACTTTAAGAACCATTTGGGTTATTTATTTTCATATACACTTAGCTCAGAAGAAGTTTGTCTTGAGAATGAATGAATTAAATGTGACTCTTTATCAAAAATTACCCCTTTCTGAATAAAATAATTTTGTTGTTCGTTTGTTAATTGAATAGAATCTAAAGGATATGTTTTATGTTCTTCAGCCATTCTTTTGACAATTAAAAAATATTTTTCAAATTGACTCTGTTCGATATAAATCATTGAAACACATTTAGATTTAGAATCACTTGAATTAATACACCTAATTGCAACTGTTTCATTTTGGTGTTGTATGTTAAATGATTTACATAATTTCTTAATATAACTATAATCAAATGAATAAGAAAGTGTTGTGTTTTGTACTTGTTCACAATATCTATTAAGTACATTAAGGAACATGTCTTTTACTAAAGAATTAAAAGTATAGCAAGTGATATAACTATCTCCTAATTGATAATTTCCTTTCATCATTTCTGGATTTTGAGCTACAACACAATACCTTTTCATTTCTCTTTTAATGAAAGAACTGTACTTTCTCAATACAAATGTTAAACAAGTTTGTATTGGTATTTCAAATGAATATTGTGTTTTAAAATTCTCAAATGAAATAAAGTCGTTTATTGCAAATGAATGAAATTGTTCATTATCAAATGTATAATTAATTTTTAATGGTTTTACATTTAAAGAATTAATATATTTTATAATGCCTTCTTTATTACATTCATTTTCTTGTTGAAAAATAATTCTCTTATTTTGTTGGTCAATAACAAATTGAGCATGAAATTTGTTTTCAAGATAAAGAGGGAGTAAATAATTATAAAATGCATTATCTGCATTATTTATATTAACCAATTGAATACTTTCAACATATGGAACACTACGTTCAATAACCGATTCAATATAATGTAACTCATTTGATTTAAGTTTATGATCAGGAACAATAAATAAAATATCATCTTCTATTTGAATATTACTTGAAAAGAGTTTTGTTGTTGTCTCTTTATAATATCTCAATCTTACTTCATCAAACACAACTGGGAAATATATTTGTGCCTCTTTTGGAATAACTTGAATATTTCTATAAATTTCATTAGGAACTTCTTCTTCTTCATTTCCCCAAATAAGTTGAGTAACTGCTTTCATCATCAAATTACGTTTATGAAAAACTTCAATTATTTTTCTTAAAAATTATTAAAAAAGAAAAACAAAAATTAAATTAAAAACCCTAAAAAAAAATGAAAAGAATTTAAAAAATTCAGTTGGTGGTTGATGAGTGCAAATGATCCATTATGGAAAGTTAATGATTTTAAACCAGAGGACAATCCTAATGGACTATTAGAAGAGAGTAGTTTTTCTATTTTATTTCCAAAATATCGAGAAGCATATTTAAAAGGGATGTGGTATGTCATAAATAAAGCTTTAGATGAAGTTTGTTTAAAAGGAGAACTTGATTTAGTTAAAGGTATTATGACAGTTAAAACAACTCGTAAAACATGGGATCCATTCATTATTATTAAAGCACGTGATATGTTGAAGTTATTATCAAGAGGAGTTCCAGCACAAGAAGCAATAAAAGTTCTTCAAGACCAATACTGGTGTGATATCATTAAAATTGGTAATATGATTAAAAATAAAGAACGATTTGTTAAAAGAAGACAACGTTTAGTAGGTCCTAATGGAGCTACCCAAAAAGCAATTGAAATATTAACAGGATGTTTTATTTTAATTCAAGGTAAAACAGTAAGTGTAATTGGTTCACCTTCTGGTATTAAAATGGTTAGAAAGATAGTAGAAGATTGTATGGACAATATTCATCCAATTTATAATATTAAAGCATTAATGATTAAAAAAGAATTAATGAAAAACGAAAATATGAAAAACGAAGATTGGTCTCGTTATATTCCTCAATACTCAAAGAAACAAAATACTAAACCTGAAAAATTAAAAGAAATTAAGAAAAAGAAAAAAGAATTAAAAAAGAAAATTATAGAAAAGAAGAAAAATTATTCTCCTTTTCCTCCTGAACGAGATGATTGATTGATTTTTATCATTTTATTTTTACCTTAGATTCTATTTTTGTTATTAATTTATATCATTATTCATACATTCTTTATTACACTATTTTACTTCTTCTTTTTATTCCTTATTTTCTTCTTAAAATCTTAAGGATTCTTTTTGGTTTTTAATTTATAAAGTAAAATAACGAATTGCATTATAAAGTACAATAGCTCTATCTGATAAAATCAATAACTATAAAACTCTTTACCTCTTCTTTCTTAAATACTCTTTTCATTTCTATTTAAGTAAACCTTCATCTAGTTTAGAATTATTATATTACTTCTTCTTTTATTCTTTATATATTATAATAAAATACAATTAATGAATTAATATCTATAAAAAAATTTACTGTTGAAAACGATAACAACATTCTTTTGTTTAGTATTTTTTATAAATAAATGAAAGTTGTAGATTTTTATTTTTATTCTCTTTTTTTATTTTAATGAATATTTACGTTATATAAAAC